AGACAGAAATATTTACAGAAAGAGATGTTTAAGCAGAACCATTGCAAAGGCAGAAATGAGGGGGGGAAAAAACTATTCATCTTAAACTAAGAACTGGCTTTAACTCTTTTGAGTTAAAGGAATTCTGATAAAAAGCAGAAACACCCGCTTTAAAAGCAGCCTTACAATGTTCCTTTCTGTGAGTACCCTATGTATCATCTGATATTGTTCAGGTTCAGATCTGATATCACTTGCCTTGTTAAATTTCCTGTTCCCAAGTTCTCTGACGGGGGACTATACAAGAAGGTAAATCAGGCAGGTGTTTCCTTGAGTTTTGATTTTCTAAATTGAGGGAACCAAAACTTTAGATGATCCTAAAGACCTTTGTTGGAAATCTTTCCCTCTGTCTGAGCCTCACATGGTGCATCTGACTTCTGACCTCAACTCCTCAAACCTGTCCCCCCATGGACCAGATGATGTCCCTCCTACAAAACCAGCCGATGAAAATGATCGAGAAGATCTGGAGGATTAAGGAGACAAAAAAAGACCTCCACCACCTCCAGCGGACATCTGTCAGTCTCTTGTTGGGCATTTGGACTGAAAACTGTGTGAAATTGAGCTTCAACAACCTGCACTGGTATGCTGTCCAGTATCAGCGTAGAGGAAGACTATAAATATTAAATTTATAATGCCGCATTAAGGGTGATAAGTGTAGAACAAAAGGTTCCTGTCATGCACTGCATGGGCAGGCCCTGATTACAGATATCATGGAGATGGGACTTTTTGTCTTTTGTGAAACTGCATTGAGTTTAACTCATGACAACATCATAACACCAAATAGCAGCAATGCAACTGCTTTTGGCCCTCAAATGACTTTCTGATGTCAAATTTGGTGGGGAAAAAAACACATGTTCCTCCCAGGACAGCTGTAAATCCAGTTACTTCAATTAGCAGCTAAGCAAAGCTTTAAGATGGGATGTCAAAGCACAAATAAACTGATGAGATACAGTATATTACTTTTTGAAACTACACTCATAAGAATGAAGAACAATGTCATCAGATGTTTACTTGACAGGATGTTTGTTTATTTTTGCATAATTGCTGCCAGAAAGGCAATATTTTTGGATGGCATGACGCAAGTCAGAATAAACACTGTAATTAGTGCCGAGAAAACTGCAGGAAGTCGGAGAGAAAAGGACTGGGAAGCAGCAGAGGATACATTTGAATCCCCCCTGGTGTTATTAATGTCACCAGCTGAGCAACGTGTTGACCACCTCCCGGTCCACTGCTGTCGGATGACAACAGCATTTAAACTGACATCTGTTTTGGAAGTGCGTTCTGTTGAAAATTTGACTAAAAACAATAATTCATGAAAAGCAAAAAGTCTTTTCTAATTTTTTTAAATTTTTTTTTTTTTTTTTACCGTGTCTGACCAGACTGCAGTGCTGGCCGTTTTGGAAACTGTGACTGACTGAGTCAATGCACCAAGGTTACTGGTGTTAATGATTGCTAATCATTTTGCCTTCATTATTTTTCAAATGTCAGCCGTTAATTAGAAAGCTGTTTTGTATATGACTGAGTTCTGAATGCATTTTCTGCTGAAGCTGATGGCAAAGAGTTACAGTCACTTATTTGTTAAACATCTTTTAACCTGGATAATAATATATTCTACTTATAAGTGCTTTTTATGACACTCAGTGACAATTTACAACACAACTACTCGTGATCACATAATAATTTATGTTGACTTTCATACGATAGAGAGCAACATCAAGTAGTATTTACTTGTGAAGGTTGGAATAAGACTTTTTGTTCTTTCTAAAACTGCAATATTGAATAGTATGTTGTGGACTTACATTTAGTCCTGTTTACTCTGACACCTCCAAATAAAATTAAGTATAAATAACTGCCCTTTCAGCTAGTTAGAGTTCACCTTAGTGTAATTTTTTCTCAGTATAGATACATTTGTTCTACAAAAAACCTCATGTACAGTGGATGGATTTGTTGTTTGTTGTTGTGTTCTGACATTCTATCAAACAAAATCCAAACATACATAGAAGATGCCTGCTGTTGTAACAAGAAAAAAATCTGTACGATTTCAAGGGATGTGAGTACTTTTGCAAGAAACTGTAATTGAGAAGTGTTCAGTGGTCATGGGTCAAAACAGTCACTATTGTTTGTTGCTGCTCTCATCAGCGCACCCTGTGGATCTGTACCAGACAGATAATGTCATTTTAAACACTGAGTTTAAGTTCCTAAACACTGTTTAAATTTCCTACTCTACAAGACAGAACGGATGTTGGACATGCCTTGTTCATCCTTTCTCAACATCCCTCCCCTCCCCCCCATCTCTGCTCCCTCCAGCCCACTCTGTGGAACATCTGCAATAACATGCTCACCCACACCGAACAGCCAACCCTCAAAATACATGAATCACCCAGAAGAGAGGGAGAAAGAGATGTTCGTGTGTGTGTGTGTGTGGGTGTGCGTTTGTGGATGTGTGTGCCTCTTTATCTCTGTTTATGGGTCGTTCAGTGACATATGAGAAAATAATTTGGTTTTATGTGTGCACAGCTCTGCGTGCTTCTGAAAGAATGATTGCGCGCTCCCCTTGTGCGGCTGTGTGCGTGTGCGCTTCTGATGCAGAGCTGGAGGGCTGTGTGGGCAGAAAGCATCCTGTGCTGGTGTAAATTGATTTCCAGAATCCAGACGTTAGGTGCTCTACGCAGGAAAAAGAGCTGTGTGCCTCAGCAGCCTTTTATGAAAGGCGGTGAAGTGCTTTATGCCTGTTTGTGTCTCCCCCTGTGTGTGTGAGAGATATGTGTGAAAAAAAGTATAAGGCAAAAGATGCAATGACATAGAAAAATGTGATGCATCGGAACATTAAAAAAAAAAAAAGACAAAAAAAATGAAGCTTTCCAAGTTGTTGCAAAGTGATTCGTTTCCAGATGCAGTCCAGTAATCTATGGCAAACAGCTGGTAAGTGGTTTATTCATGACCACAAGTGTTACTGTGCATTTGTGTGTGAATCCTTTGTTTATTCATGAGAAGAGACAGAGAGGGATGAGCCGTGTCACAACAAATGAGATAAACAGTGAGGTGGCGGGTTAGAAGAAGACAGACACCATCACAGTTGGGAATAGCTGTTATTCAAAAGTGACAATACGGTTTCCTTCTTTGCAGGTGGGGAACTGAGTAAGTTCAGCACATTATGTAAAACATGTTTCACAAATTCGTTGGGCTTTTAAATCTGGACGTGATTTACTCCTGGTGATTAGTCTTGATTTTTTTTTTTTTTTTAATCAGGCAGCCTAAAGCCTGAACTGCTGGCGTCTTGCCTTAAATAGAGTGCAATCATCCAATAATAAGCAGCCTTAAATTTTTGTTGATTACATCTTTGTAGCAAATTATGTACATTTTATTCTCTTAAACCCTAATCAATATGTTTGAAAATAAAGTTTAATAGGAGCAGTGGAGTTATGAAAAAAAAAGACACACAGGACTGCTTATTTTCTGTTTATCTGTTTATTTTCAAGCAATATCTGGGATATATACAAACTATAATAACCAAGAAAAAGTCATTTTAACATTCTTTTGTGCTATATAATAAAACATAACTGCTCAGAAAGCGATTGCTGAGACTTAATTTTTTTTTAAAAGATGTGTGCAAAGAGGAAACATTTGGTCTTTGAATAGCATGAAAGTTTGCAGCTACGTCACATGGGAAAACTAGCACCACCAAATCAGTGACCATGATCTTGAGCAAAAACAAGGTAGAGAGTGTTATTCGGGTCGGGCTTAAGTGGAGCAGTTTCTTGGGGTTTTGTTCATGAATGAGGGGGAAAAGCTGTGTGGGAGACAGAACACACTGGATGGACCATGTTCATCAAAACTCAAGTCACTGGGCTTCTCTGCTTAGCTGCTGCCGCCGTGACATAAACGAACTCGGGATGTTTGCTGAGAAAAGGGAACTGGACGGTTCTGAGCTGAATCAAAACCTGGATTTCATCTCTTTGAGATGGTGTGAGGTGTTACTTGAACTGGGCAGTAGATGTTACTGACCTCTCAGAGATCTGAAAGTAAGGAGTGGCTGAAACTTCCCTAAGATGGATGTGAGAAACTGGTAGATGGCTACAAGAAGCAACTCACTGAAATGATTTCAGCCCAAACGCAAACTTTTTCCTAAGATATAATACAACTTTTGATATATTTTAACAAGTAAAATTATGCCCATTTCTTGCATTTACCTTTAATTTGTTTTGCAGAATCGTTATATGTAACAAGGTTTTTTAAAAAAAATGTTTTTCACGCTTAATCGTCTGAATGCAAACGACCAATGCATTTTTTTTTAAAGAAATGTTCTCCACAGCATTAATGGCGCCACCTCGGTTTTTGTTTTAGTGACCCAGCTTGCCAATATAAAAAAACAAAAAAAACAAAAACAATTAGAAGCAGATAATTGCCTTTGTTCACAAAAATGTAAACAACTGGAAGTAAAATGCAGTATCATTTAGAAAAGAAAAAAAAATTGGTGCAATGTACCGTTTTTAACTCCGTAAGGAAATAATCCCCCAGCTTGTTTTCATTTCCCCTCGGCTCATGGAGCTGTTCCACTGCTGTGGTGCTGAAATGCCTGCCCCCGTTTCTTAAAGGGTATATCCAAACGCTCAAAATGACAGATAAAGCATGACAGCATCTACAACGTGGTTCCGTTAATATCACTGCTGCAGAGTTTTTATTTTAACTTTCGAAGTGTGGGATTGGGATGTAATTATTAAATATATATATATATAAATGTGTGTCTCATTCATCCATTTATTATTTCACCGTTTCATATAAAGTGTCTGCAACTGCAACTATGTTTTAAGTGAAGCTTCAGTGGATTTTTTTTAAAAATTATTATTAAAGAAATGCTGCACATTGCAAGAAAGCAGAGCACCTGCAATATAGCATAACATCACATCGTAATTAATTTGTCATTACTCCTTTACAGCTCATCTTCTGCAGGGTGACAGCAGCAGCAGCAGCAGCGGGGTACATGGGCTGGGTTGGCAGCACTTGAGTGTAATTCCATGTGGGAGGAGGATGGGTGGGTTTAAGTGCAGCTATCAGGTCTTTTCTTCTCACACGCTCCGCTGTGCGCACAGACTGAGGAGAAAATCAAAGAGCAGGTCCACCTCCCCATGCGATGTGCAGCAGGTCGGTGAGGGCGCAACAGTAATCTCAGATACTGTCCCCGTATTCAGATTTTCACGCTGCTTGGCGAGTTAACAAAGTCCGCTACAGTTTATTTTTTTTATTTTTTGCGCTTTATTTATTTATTAATTAATGTCCCACCACCCCCCCTTTTCCATTCACTCACTGCTCACTCCCCTCCATCCTCTCCAGCTTCAACATCTGTGAAGTGGCTGCCTCACCCGGTCGGACCGGAGGCCGTCTGGTCTCCGATCTGGTCTCAGGAGTCAGCAGGGGAGACTCGACGCGCTCCGTCGGGGCCAGGCTGTGCGCCTCTCGGATCACACCGGAGCCGGCGCAGGCTCTCGCCATGGAGATGATGGAGGGGGACGTTATGGACAAGCTGGGGGACATGTCATCAGTGTACGACTTTGACCCGATCACCGGCAACATTCCGGCCACGAAAGTGGAGATCACCGTCTCCTGCAGGTGAGTGCGGTGCGAAGCTGCACGCGTGAATGAAAAGTTCGGGAATCGGGACGGCGTGCGGGGAAAGTTCTGAGAGAGAAAGAGAGAGCCCCACCCTGTCTGTGAGATGTGCTTATTCCACGATGATACGGCGATCCTGCCTAATGTGGCGAATGTAACTTCCGAAGTTGCTCGTTTTGATTTGTGCCTGCGTGGACGTGGGGGGTGTTTCGGTGGACAGCAGTTGCCCTTCAGTGGACTCAATTCCTCACACATGCTGTTGGTTTAGTGTGGCTCTCTGTCCAGGGCACTGGAGGTGAGGGGATGAGGGCAGTTAGGAGAAGTTACGTGTCATTTCTGCCTGAAAAAACTATTTTATTGCCTATTTGCCATAAGCTCTCTCTCTCTCTCTCTCTCTCTCTCTCTCTCTCTCTCTCTCTTTTTATCATAGAAAGACTTTGGAAACAAAAGCTAACTTTTATTTGTCCCTGAAGAAGTTTTCTTTATTGATCCTTTGAAAATGGGACCCAGCAAATGGCGCAAATTAGTGTCGGATTCATAGTATTTAGCCCCGATTTTATGGCTTATTTGTTCCGGATGATATTGGTTCTTGTTCTATTTTCATATCCCTGCTTGTGTACCTATTTACTTATCACTGCCATTTGACCTTGTGGCCCCTTCTTCATGCCAGGCCCTGGTTGGAGAGCCATTCACCTAATCGAGAGCAACCGCTACGCATTATGCATAGACGACTTGAAGTGGGCTTCTCAAATTAAGCTGTGATTATGTCCTTAAAATCTTGGGTCACGCTGATTTTAAAACAATCAGCGTTTTATTATTATTATTATTAGTTCTTAATGAAAAATCAATAGCCTCATTGCATCCTAAAGCCTCTCTCATGTGCAGGTGTGTACAGTAGCTGGCTGCTTTCAGCACCAACAGACCTCTGAAAGCCTCAACCCTTCCCCTGCTGCATTCTTTTAAAAAAAAGGGACTTACATTTTCAAAGCTTTGCATCACATTCACACTGTGCCCATGTCCCTGGCCTCAAGCTCGCTCCCTGTTCTGTAATATTCTACATTTTTTCATTTTCAGAAATAATTTATAAAAAAAAGAGAAGAATGTCTGCCAGACCAGATCAATCCTAATACAGACAGTCACTCCCCTTCCTAACAGAAAGCGTTTTTTTATATTCGTCCCTTAAATACTCCAGAATGTGTACACGTACGCACGCACACACACACACACACACACATGTTTCTGCTCTTTGATGCTGGGTTTTTGGTTGGTGAGCCATTGGAGCTGAGTGAGTTTGAGTTATAACAAGCTGTGAGTGCATTATTGATGGGCTCTCTGACCTTCAGAGAAGCTTGCTTCAACATCTCTCAGCTCAGAACGGGAGGAAAAGGAAAATACGGAGCCTTTCAAGAAATTTGCTGAATGAACAACAGTTATGTTGCAAATGGAAATCTTTAGTAAGCAGTCAGTTCAAATGGAGAACGGACGGGTAGCGAAATGCCAAGTTGAGCACCTGGCAGATCCTGACGTAAGTTTTGGATCTGAACTTTCCCAGCATGCCAAGTTGAGCTGACTATAGGCTCACATCATACACAAGCATGTGCAATTAGACAGCATTCAGGTAAATGATGAGCTCCATCCTGAGCCCCACCAGCATTTATGCAAATGGTTTCTCTGAATATATCCCCATGTTGATGTATGTTGGAAAAGTAGGAAACGCAACTGAGTGTTGATCATCCCCCTCGTGCGGAAAGACGATGAGTTTGAGTCAACACCAGTAATTGGAAAGAGGGTGTTTGGTGGTTTTCCATCCTGCTTCACTGCCAGTGTTTTCTGTAGAAAAGCACCCATCTGATGTGCAGTAGATTTACAGTTTCAATGCTAATCATGTGGAAAAAAAAAAGAACATGTGGCTTACAGTAATTAAGCTCACAGCTCCTGCTGTGATTGTGCTTGAAGTGCAGTGGCTTGCAAAAGTTTGGCCTAAAAAAAAAAAGAAACAAACAAAAACACCCAAAACATTTTTGAAGTTAATTTTTGATTGAGTTTATCTTTTCTGCTTGAGAGATCATGGTACATGTGTTACATGGAGTCACCACTCCACATTGTCTAGTTTACAGAAATTCAGTCAGTGTTTCCTGCAGTCTCAAACTGTGACTTATTGTGTCTGCAGGAAAGATAATTCAGATTTAACCGGCCTCCGTGCTCTGATCTATATCTGTCAAATCTAAGGTAACATAAGTGCCAAAAATGTATATATATATATATAAAAAAAAAGACTCCTTTTTATATTTTCATTAAAACAGCAAAGGGCCAATACAACTTAAACTGAGTTGCAAATACTCTCATTCAGGTGAAGAATTTTACATTTGAAGTCTGACCAGTATGAATATTCAAGGTTTTGACCTGGAAATGAACAAAAGCAGTCTGCAGCTTTTTAAATTTCTGCCAGATTGGACAAAGTGAACAAAATACATATTTAAAAATGATATGGATGTAAATAAAACATAACTTATGTTAATTTTTTTTTATATCTCAATTACATTTTTTAAAATTTATTTATATTTTAGGACTTTGCCATTTGCTGTCTTATTTCAGCATTGAATTGAATCCTTTTATCCCTTTATGAATAAATATTGTTGGCAACAAGGTGGTGCAGCAGTGGTTCTGCCCAGAGCAGAATTGACCCATGTGAGTTTGAAATGCTTTGAGGTGAAAATATTTTCAAACCATTGTGTAAGATTTGGATTTGTTTCTATTCAAGTTCCCAATCTTATGATGTGAAAATATTGCAGTTTGTCTTCTGATGTGTCCTCCATGAGGGTCATATTCTGTTCAATGAAAATAAAGCATTCCTCTAATCAGACTTTGATCATTCTTTTGGTGATTGTTGAGGATTTAGAGTCTGAATAATCATCTGGTGTCCTCAGCTCTTGAAAACAAAATGCATCCAAACACATGCCTGAGTATGTGTTTGGATGTTTGTTTGTTTTTTTTATTCCCACAACTGCTAGTTTTGCAACTGTCTCAGCTTTTTTTGGAAGCAGGGCAGATAAACTCAGAGATCCTTCTGTCACATTCAGACACCTATAATAACCTCGTTAATCCCCCCAAATCCTTTGCCCAGATGTTCCATGAGTCAGATTCCTTTTCAGGAAAGAAGCCTCTGTGTTTGGTGGTGTTCGCACCTCCTTCGACTGTGTGCTTTCTGCGATGCCCCCATCCATGATGATTGCTGTTCCCTGAGGGTAAATACCCCTTATTACAAGCTGCAGCCGCGCTTTTGACAATGCACCATTATCGGGACCAGTGTCAAATGGAGAGGGGTGGGTGGGCTCTTGATCAGGCAAATAGGGAGAAAATTATATGGAATTAGTTGGTCATTCATTCAGTTTAAGAAGACAAGTCAAGCGTTTGGGTTTAGAATGATGAAAATAAGGCTTTTAGAAATGAATGCTATACTTTTTTTTCCTTTTTTTTTGGCTCTAATGCATTTTCTACAAGCAGAAACTTTGAATATTCACTTCAAATGTTCATGTTTTAGGAATGTTCTCTCATTACAAACAAAAACCTTAAACATGTTTTATCGGGATTTTTATTTTATTTTATTTTATTTTTTTGATGAAGGAAAAGTATATACTACATACTGGTGAAGTTACATAAAACAACTCACGTGACATTTTGGGAATTTCAGCCACCAGTGGCGCTGCACTGAGCAGAGCAGAAATTAGGGTCAATGATCAACGTATCTTAATTACCCTATTAGTGACATTCATGGCCCTATTACTGTGATTATTCTGAGTAAGCCTGTTACTTCCGACCAAGCTAAACACAGAAGCAGCCTTTTGGACAAGAGGTGAAACATCTTCGAGAAGCTAGAGAAGTTTATCTTATCTTGCCTTTATCTCCATTTACTGCTACAAGTCTGTCATTCTGCTTTTTAAAATGGCTAAACCTAAGGGTGACTGGACAGGCCATACCACAGGTTTTTATTCAGACTTAGGTCTGGATATAATTTTAATATCTTAATCATGGGTTTGATCTTTTTTTTTTCTATTGTGGTTCTGGTTGTGCTTTTAGACTCACTCATACTCGAGCCTTCTGCAGCCTTTTACAGATTTCCCTCCAGTGTTGCCATGTTACAAGCTCTCTCAATTCTCCTACCAGCTTTTATCAGCTTAATTATCCATGCTGAGAAATGGATCTCGATAAGATGATGCTGCCACCACCAAGCTTTGCCATGGGGATGGTGTGAAGTTTATGACTTGACTGGACTTATGGCTTCTTTGTTTTTTCACCAATATCTCATTTATTGTTGCTAGACTTCCATCAGCTTTAATAAAATGATGGATTATATGAGCTATTTAGTTGACATCTGAAGGCAGTAGGTTAAAAAAAGGGATTTTCAGAATTATATTTGAAAAAAAAAAAATGAGAACCACCATAATTTTCCTTCCAATTCGAAATTATGGAGTACTTTGTTGTAAATGATATAAAATCCGATTTAAGTACATAGGCTGTGACATGACGAAAGGGGAAAAATGTTCAAGGAATTTGAATATTTTTACAAGCCACAATATTAGCAACAGGACGTTTAATTAAAACAAAGGTGGCTTTGAGCACACGAGGATTTGTTCCAGCAAGCGCAGACTTTTGAGCTCAGCTCACATTTTTCACACTGTTTTATGCAGCACTCTTATGAGTGTGTGTGTTTGTTTTGTGAAGAAGCCTGGCCTCCAAGAGATGTGTCAGAGGAACAAAACTGGGAGGACAGGTTGGCAGTCCCAAAAAAGGCACTTTTTTTTTTTTTCTTGGGGACTCTTAAACTGGTATTTATAATCCCACAGGGCTTGACAGTCAGTGGTTTGGTTCCCAGTAACACTGACTATCTTGGTAAATGAGAAGACAAAAAAAAGGACAGGAGAGCAGAGGTGTAAATCCTTCTGCCACAAAGCCACCGTCCTCCATTCAGCGCCATTTGAAATCCCTGTAAACCCATTTAC